GTCCTTTGTTTCTTGGGTTTTGCTTTCGTAAAATTCTGTTGGTGTTGGTGGTGAAAATAATAAGAAAGAAGCAGAGATGAACAATGAGACAACGAAAATGTAGAGGGAAGACAAAGACAAAGAAAGAGGAATCGGCTTGGAGTGGAAAAGAGGGATCGGGAGGGAGAGAGCGAGGAATAAGAAGGTGCTTGTCCATTCTTGTGCTGAACGTGTTGCGACAAATTTCGTCTTTGTTGAACAAGCGGACAAGCAGGGAAGAAGCGATATGAAAACAAGGAGCGGATCCGATGCTGCAGACTCTTGTTTGAAGAAACCCTAAGAGAGATGTTGTTGATATGTTGATCTGCTAATTAAGGTGGTAGGACCGCAAATGCGGCATGAATTGCTGCTATCTTTCTGCAGTAACATACTTAAGGCGTGGTCGCTTTTGATGATGACATAATACAGTTCAAGTACTATTGTTTGAAATGATGAATTTCTTAGTAGCAATAGAGTCTTGTTTAAACTGTTGTTGTTCCAGTTGCAAGCAACAGGGTGTTTCTGAAGAGTGTCGTTGATTTTAGCAGAGGTGGATTGCTACTTAAGGAAGTTGTTGTCGTTTTCATTAGCGACATAACGTTACTGTTGTTCTGATCGTGTTATTATCGCTGACTGAATCTTCGGGTGTTGTAGGAGATTTTTGTTGTTGCAGCAGGTTTCACCTCGCTACAAGTTAAAAGGTTTCTCTGTAATCAGTTGCCATTACGGCGCCCTCGAGATACGAAGATATCAAGGTCTTCTCCACACGATTCAGAGTGACGTCTTCTTGAACCTTAAAAATTTGAAATTTATCCCTTCGTCCTTGTTACTCTAAGTCTAGTGTATTTATTTTGAAGAGAAAGGCGGTAGGTGGGATTCAAATCTGTAATTTGCAGCAAAACCTTGTGGGAGGTCAACCCATCTATTGTGGGAACTCTGTCGGAACCTATGCGAGGTTCGATGAGCAAAGCACTAAAAGATAAACTTATTTGTCCACTCCGTGAACATTTTATTTCACTAACTATACAACTCCCTAGTTTGATTGAATTATATATTTAAATCACTATTCGTCAATCTTTCTTTCATAATGTGATCAAATTAAAAAAAGGAGGATTGTGTTTTGGATGTTCATTTATCTGTGTAAAATCATATTAAGGGGAACAAATAGAGGAAAATGCGAGAGGAATGTGGTTTCTATGAGATTGATAGGGTCAACAAAGGACCTGACATTATTATCAAGATCAATGACTCAATTCATATATTTATCTAATTTGTTTGCTTACCAATTAGACAATATGTTTATAAGATGAATGATCTGGTTGTTCTTTTTTTTTTGGGTTTGCCTTCTTGGTTTTCAATAGTCACATATTATTTATAAAATGAATGGTTTGACCGTTTGTTTAATTTGGGTGGTTTATGAATGAAGCTTCGACATTGTTTTTAAGATTAATGGTCCAATCTCTCTGTTTTTTTTGATTCGTTTGATGAACTTGAACATTTTATGTAAGATAAATGGTTTAACTTCTTTGTTTTATTATGAGGGAGATTCAGATAAAGGACTAAATAGTGGTGGAAGCCTAAATATTTATAAGATGAATGATTTAGTCTAAAACCTCGCATGTAAACTGAATTGGGCATAAAGATTACCTATATTATTTATATATATATATATGTATATACGAACAAACAAGCTTAAACATTATTTTTAAGATTCATGGTCAAGCTATATATCTCATCATAAAGAAGAGAGTACTAACTAAGAATACAATTGAAGGTAATATGGGAAAACCGAGCATTGTTTGTAAGATGAGTGACTCATTCTTACACCAATTTTTCAGCCCAGGGTGACCTTGATTGCCTTCAGGGAACCCCCAATGGGGAACACCGACTAGGGGACAACCGACAGCAGAGGGACCGAGCATCATCTGAGTGGCCAGTCGTTGTGCCTCCCCGATTACCCCTCCCCCTATGAACATCAGCAGACACTGCTTTTTAATGCCAATTGGGGGGACCAACGGGCTATCTTTAGGTGGTGGGCGCCAAGCATGCCCAAGAAGGTACATGAGGCCAATGGGGATTGAACCCAAGACCTCATGAATGCCACTTGCATGCCCTACCAATTGCGTCAGGCCGCTGGATCAATCTAACTTTTTTAACCTCCGCCTTGCCCGACAACCTTCAGTGAACTGACTGGCCAAAAAACAAAGGGAAAATTTTCGAAATGCCCCTGAAGTTTGCATTTATTTGCGGCGTGCCCCTGTGAAGGCCGACTTATCCTGTTATGCCCCTCGGGCCTCTAAAATTTTCCTCAAGCCCCTGTCAGCATGGGGCGTAACTTTCCAATATGCCCTTATTGGACCGTTGGTGATGTTTCCTCGGTCCGTCCTTGAAATGCCCTGACGAGGGACACACATCTTTCTGTGATGCCCTTGCAGCCGTGGCGGCAGGAATTCGAACTCGGAAATGGTAGGTATCTCACGCGCCGCCACGGAAAAATGGTGCAGCAGTCAGTCTTCGAGTTCGCCGCGCCATGGATCGCTGCTCCCTCCTCCTCCACCCATGCTCATGACCCTCCTCCCTCCTCCATCCATGCTCGTCGCTCTCCTCTCTTCTCCTCCAGCCTCCATCCTCTATCCTTCGTCATAGTCCTTGTCCTTCCTCCTACTCTTCCCTCCTCTTCCCTTGTTCGCCCTCCACCAACTTTCTCCTTGTCACCCCTCCCTCTCCTCCTCCTCCTTGATTGTCGACCTCCTAACCATCACCATGGCCTTCTTCTTGGCGTCATCGCCTGTGCACACGAGCACGTCTGTATGTGTATGTGTGTGTGTGTGTGTGTGTGTTGTTGTTGTCATCTTTTCGTTTACTTGTTTGTTGGACAGGTGGTATATGATGACGAATTGAAGGTCGTCTCTACTCCTCTTCCCTCCTCTTCCCTCCTCTTCCCTCGTTCCTCCCTCGTCCAACATCGTTGTAGTCCTTGTCATCGTACTCCTCTTCCCCTTTCTTCCCCCTTCTTCCCCCCTCTTCCCTCCTCTTCCCTCATATGGACTGCGAGTGTCAACAACGGCGACAGGGGCTTGCTGGAAAGACGGACGGTACCGGTAAGGGCATATGGGAAACATTTCTGCCGGTTCTCAACAAGCAGCCGGTAGGGGCATACTGAAAATTTGGTACCGGTATCGGTAGGGGCATATGAAACACGTTCGAGGCCCAAACGACGCCAGGGGTTTTCTGGAAACATCATTTGTCGTCAGAGGGGTGCGACAAGGTAAGTCGGCCGTCAGAGGGGCATTCCGCAAATAAACGAAAACTTCAGGGGCATTTCGGAAAGGTTTTCCAAAAGCAAGACAAGGAAAAACAAAACAAAAAAAAAGAACTGACTGGCCCCAGGTACTCGGGAATAATTTCAGCAGGTCTCGAACTCAGCTCTTATCAACAATTCACGGGTGCACCATCACTGAGCCACATTTCCTCCCGTAGCGGCTGCCGCGCCCTTTTCCTCCAAATTTCTTCTCGTTTCCGCGCCACCAACGGACTGTACTTCATTTTTGATCACATTCGGCGCGCCCATTTTTCTCCAAGGGCGCCGGTTCCTCTACTACCGGTAGCCGCCCCTTCCCTCCCTCCTTTGGAGCCGTTTGCACTTCTCCGCCCCTTCCCTTCCCCTCCCTTCCCTCCCTCCCCCTCCCCCTCCCCCTCCCGTCCATTGTTCAGCGTCCCCCCCGCCAAGATGATCGCATACGGCGCGCCCTTATCAACGTTGCGGGAACAGTGGGAGCAGCGGCAACAACTTTCTGGCAGCAGCAATCTCCACTCTAATAATTTAATAAAACAGCTCGCTTCTGAGTATCGTCGTCTTTCTGTCTGATCTGCGGTTAGCAAAGGCTATGTGTCTTGAAAATTGTCGGGACGGGATGGCGCGGTGTGGCAAAAAGAATGCATATATGTGGCCCGTGGTTGGTGGAATTGATTTGCTGTTGTCACGCGGACACTGGGAGGGTGTGTCGGATGGTGGGGGGGGTTGGGATAATGTAGGAAGACGAGGGACGTGAGTGAGGGATCGGGAAATCCCTACTCTACTCGCAGCGCTGTGACTTTCCGGGACATATGTATCGGACCGGAATTACGTTCAAACTGTCCGAAAAGGCATAGTACGGCCGAAGTCAGACATACGGGATGTTCCCGTGTTGATTTGCTGGAGGATAATGTAGTATAGTAATTTGTTCATCGGCAGGATGGTTTATTGCGTGAACTATCGATGGAAGATACGGAATTTGTAACATAACTTGGTAAATCTGGCCTATCACCCATCTCCAAGGTCTTGACGAGTTCTCGTTGCCCTTCTCGCGCCAGCCTCCTTCACCTCGACGAGGACTCTGGGCACCAAAGTGTGCG